CACACACACACACACACAAAACACAAGAAATATATTTATAAATTCAACGTCTTATTTTTTTGCTGTCAATTGCCTGTGAAATTTAAGCTTTTATTTTTGTAATGATGGTACTAGTACATTAAATACTATTTATTTATTTAAAGAATGCACCTGAGAACAGAGAATAATAACATACACAAAGCAAACAATGTTCTATAACTATTATAATTTAACTGGCTTTTTAGCTAAGGCATATGTGCCTTAAAATAATTCTCTAAGCTTCTTGATCTAAACACTGCCAGAGAAATTTACAAACTGACGATGAAATAGACAGTATCTGTACTGAAAACAATGCAATATAGAATAAAACTATGTTTTTCTATTGTATATAAATGATATAACAGAAGACATCAGAGAGAATTATTGGCGACGTGTGAAGAAAGGATAGGACAGGTGGGCATAGCAACTGGGTCTGAATTCTAGTTTATGTCTCAGTAAACATAGAAGATTGAAGGCTACAAAAATTAGACTTTGCCTTATTAATAACTATATTATAATGAGTAATTTGCAATTCAACTTTGTACTTCTGAGAGGGGTGGTAAATAAATTAGAGGATGAGGATATATTTAAATATTTCCTATTAAAATTATGAAATTAAAACTTAGATAATATTAAAATTAATTAACTATTCATTAATTACACTTTGATGTCAAATTTATTTGTATACATTGGTAATAAAGTAGCTTAATTAAATTTTTAATGCAACCCTGTAAAAGGTTGTGACATGCACACTTCAACCTACCAGTAGCAAGAGGATTAAATAAAGAATAATAAAAATTCTGTTTAACAAAAAATCTCAAATATCTTATTTTACTGTGCCTAAGCTATTCATTCACCCAGTTTTTTTATGGTTTTCTTTTCCAAGACTTACAGTATGCAGATGGGATAACCTCTTGTACCTTATTGTCATTTCCTATCTTGTCACTGGCCTAATGAATTCACTGGTAACTTGTGACAAATGATCCTTGGAAATCCTCTAGACATTGTCTTGAAAGAAACTCTGGGCTTTTTAGCAGGTTGACATTCCACTCGCAAATTTGTCTCTGAAGCTGTCTTGACAAGAATCTTTGGCTCTTAAGAAGGTTGAATTATCACTAGTGGTGTCTTATTGAAGATATCCAGTTGGCTATTCTCTCACAAACCTCATACTAGAGTTGATAACAGTGGCTGAACTTTGCCTTGGACTGCTTGTCCTTCTGGATTCTGTAAACCATATCATTTATTCTTTTCACTACAACAGAAGGGAATACAGCCATACCATGTCCTTGATAAAATCTAATATTATCAGCATTAACATCATACTGACTTTTCATTTTATCACTAGTTGATTTAAGTTTTTCCCAAGTAAAGTCTTGTATGACACCAATGGTGTGTTCCTTAGTTTCTGTACATGAGTGATTATCCTCAGGATACGAGTACAAAAGGGCCAATGGCACTTTGAGTTCTCTCCCCACCAGCGATGATGGCATGTTTCCTGTAGCTTCATGTACTGCTATTCAATAACTCATTAATAGCAGTGGAAGATTGTAATACGTATTCTCATGTTCATCCACATAAATTGCTGAATGGTTGAAAAGTTTAAAGTTGTATCTCTTCACCATTCCATCATAGATGTATGAATGGTTGTTTTCCTGGTCTTTCTGATTCCAAGAATTTTACACATTTCTGCAAACAAAGTTGAATCAGTTTAACTCTGGTCTAAATGAAGTTTCACAGGCACCAAAAATCTTGAAACAAATTCATTGACAAGTTTCTACATCCTGATTAGTGACAGCATATTCATGTAGCTATTTCGTGAAATGGTCCATCACATTCATGATGTATTTATTCTTATTGTTACTCTGTGAAAATGGACCAAGCTCTCTCTCAAGTGCTACTCCAGCATAATACTGCTGTAACTATCCACACTGTTTATTTCATGCATCTTTTCACTCACAGCATAGTTCACATGATTTACACCAATTCTATACAGATCCATGGCACCCAATCCAATGTTCAATCTCTTACTTTAGCACCTAAGTGTCCAGCTGTTGGAAGGATGTGGAGATGATGGAGTGCTACCATAAATTTGTTTTTCTATCCACTAACATCTTCCCATTTCTAACATAAGTCTTTTCCTAGGCATAATGAATTCCACTGTGCCCTGTACATCTCTGTCTTCTGGCTGAATGGAGTGACATTTTGCCATGAGTGTTTTTCTGTACTTTTATGCATTATTTTCAAAGTTGTATCTTTTGCTTGAGCATCTTTAAGTTGTGTGCTGGACTATATTGTTTCTTCATCATCACTTGTGAATGTCCCATCTTGGAATATACTCTGTTAAATATTAGGATGGACATCTTTATTATCTCTTGCTTCCCTCTTTTCACTGTGTTTACATTCTTTGTTAACATATAGTCTTCAACATTTCCATGGTTCCAAATACAGGGTGCAACATCGTGTTAAAGTTGTACTCCTGAAGTTTCTGGATCCAGATTGCTATCTGGCCTCCTGGATTGCAAAAATTCACAAGCCCCCTCAGTGCTCCATGATCTGACCTGAGTAGTCAACTTTCGCCTATATAAATAATGATGGAAATGAGTTAGGGCTTTAACAACAGTTATTAGCTCTTTCTAAATTGTACAGTACCTCCTTCCTGCAGTATTCATTGCCTTGTTATAGTAGGCAATCACATGCTTTTTCCATGCTGTACTTTTGATAAAACCCCTCCCACTGCAAAATTTCTGACACCTGTATCTAATAAGAGGGGGGGAGGGGGTCTTCAAGAGTTGGGTATGCTATTACAGAAGTAGTGGTTAATTCTTTCTTCAGTTTGTTGAATGCTTGTTCTCAATCAACAGTCCAACAAAACTTATTTGGTTTTTCAAGTAATGTGTGTGTAGATGATGATATAAGAAAATGACAATAGTAAGAGCACAATCCCAGAAATTGTCTTATCTCATGCAAATTCTTTGGTGTTGGCCAATTATAAACAGATTATATCTTAGCTGGGTCTGTAGACACTTCCTCTTTGCTGACTATCTGTCCCAGAAACTAATCTGTTGATGGAACAATTTACACTTCTTAGGATTCAGCTTAAGGTTCTTTTTCCTCAACTGCTTTAGAGTTTTCCTTAACCCATCACAAGTATTATCAAAGGTCTTACCATTTGTGCTTATGTCATCTAAGTATATTCCACGGTAGTTCAGAAAGAACACACCCCATCAGTCATTGAAATGTAGCAGGTGTGTTACATAATCCAAATGGTAAAATAGCAAGTTGCCACAATCCATTTTCTGCAGTAAAAGCTATCTTTTCTCTGCTTGCTTTGTTGACTAGCACTTGCCAGTAACCATTCTTTAGTTCTAATATTGAAAACCATTTTGATCCAGATAAAGCATCCAAAATACTCAATCCTTGGCAGTGGGTAGGCAGCCTTCTTTGTGACTTCATTCACCTTCCGCTAGTCTATGCAGAACCTTGTAGGTCTATTCTTGTTCTTCCAAAGTACAATAGGTAATGTCCGAGGACTAGTACTTGGTTCTTCATAGGCATCTATGTCTTCAAAAGCCTATAACTGTTTTGCAAGTGGGAACTGCCTGGCTAACTGATGTATTGGGGCTGCATCTTCAGTATCAATTTTATATAATATTTCATTTGTTTAGTCTAAGTCATGGGGTCCACTGGAGAAGATATTTTGATATTCCCTAGGCAATTCATGTGTATATAATACCAATCAGCAATAAGACCTTCACAGCTCTGGTCATACACCTCTTGTAAGTGAGGTGGTATCTATGTGAAGATTTGATATCAAACTTCCTATATCTGCCTCACAAGTGACTACTTATGATGCTTTTTGATATGGAAGTTCTACTTCTACAACTTCACATGTTGCGATGTCCCATCTAGACTCAAATTTCATGATTTGTTGTGTTCATGGTCCTAATAATGACATCTTTATCCTTCATGTCAATGAGAGTTCTTCCAATCAATAATCTCTCAAAACACGTTAAAGTATTTGGTCTACAATGCCCCAGCCACTAAATGTAAATTTATTCCTAATAAATCACAGTATGAGTATTTCACTTCTCGTTGATAAAAGAAATACCCTTCTTGTTGCCACTGGAAGTTCCAACCTCTGACACTGTAACTGTGATGTAGTGCACAAGGATTTCTGGTCATAGTCTTCACTTGAGGCCAGTTCCCAATATCCACTGTTCAATATCATTTACCCGCACATCACGAGGCGTAGATAAGCTCTTCATATTAAGGGCAATTTCTAACTTTCCTCTTTTTGAAACATTATGCCCATTTGTTTTCTTCATCTTTGGAGGTAATTTTCTACCTATTATTAGCAAATTAGTTCAACTGCAACTATACAACTAGAAGCAAGGCTTCATACCAATAAATCTATTGATTGGTTGATCCTTTTTCCACTGTTTCTTCATCTACAGCAAATTTTTGGTGTCATTTTATTCTTATGTTGTCATTTTGAAGTTTAGTCAAAGTTCTATTATATTTTCACCAAAATAATCCCACTTCGCACATGACTATTGTAATATGTTCTATTCTTGGGCAGGTTTTCTTGACTAATTTGTTAAAGATAAGGCGAAATTTATTTCATTTTAAATAAAGAATCAATTTATTGCTTCAATACCATTTTATACAGGCTACAATCATTAGTAGGCCTAATGTCACAAACATATTACTTATGTGCAAAATTTCTTTGCTAATCAATTTTAATAAACATGCTTGCTTACTAACTTGATCACCGAAAAACAAAATTACTTACTCTTACTGTCTAACTCACTAAAACTCTTTAACAGATACTAAACTGATTAATTAATTATAGCTCACACGGTCTGTCATTTTCATACTGTCCTCTATTTCATAAAAATTCAAGATTTCACAGGCATAAACTTTCATAAAATTTCTAGAACTCACACAATTATTACATCATGTAAAACAAAATTTTGTACAGTGGACAAAACATTAAAATATTACAATTATAGCCCACAACTATATATAATTATCAGTTGAGTACATTTGTGAAAAAAAGTTAAAATTACATTTTAAACTTTCACCTCTTTTGACAAACTCACCTTTGACTAAGTTCACACTTCGAAACACCTGTGCCAGTTTCTTCATCAGTACAGCAATAAAAGTATCAGTGGTATTTATATCTACCGTATATGATCCCTGGTCATACACTACAACATCATATGTTTCATGTATGTCAAATTGGCATGTATGTATCAATAGATCTTTCACCGAAATCTGATAAAAGGAAGAAAAAAAAACATTGTGAACCACAATAGTCACACATATGTTTCAGAAACAAATTATAAATGCATTCTGAATTTTGTACACAATGAAGTTTTGTCAATTTTAATTTGCAGCAGTACATCTTTATTAAGCCAGTCTAGCAGTGTTGGTGTTGGATTTAAATACACTTCACACAAGAAAGAGAAATGAAAGTCAACACAGCTATTCACACACTTATTCAAACAATCTGAGCAAAATGTCCCCATGAAACACTAAATGGTTGGAACACTTGCAGAATTTTTAAGAGCAAAAATCAAGGAAATATTTTTTTTTCAAAATTAATGAAGCTTTCTATGTCAACCACAACTGAACAGACAAAAAGACTAGAAGATATCAACCATACTAATCAGTGATCAAAGTATATTACTTTCATGTCTTTGACTGTATTGTAAAATGTCCCAAAGGTAGTCAATGGAGGAATTACATAACAGTATAAAAAATTGGCTGATTACTAGCAACCAGTTAATTGGTAATTGGATTACTTTTTTGCATATCTCTAGTTCACTCACAAGACCAGTATTAATTCTGCCATGTCAGTATTACAACTGATCAAAGTTAAAAATATGAAAATGTTTCACCTGCATTTTATTTTAACAGTTTTGCATATGTTCACATGAAATACACAATTTTTCTTTCTTTTTAAGTGTTTTATCAATAATATGCTATATAGTAAATTGGGTTTCAAGTTGAGTTTTTAATCTTTTAAATTTCCATTTAAAATGTCATTTACAATCTGAACTTTTATATACAATTTCACCTAGAATTAATAATAATAAAAGATATTTTTGGTGTAAATAAATTTTTACTTATACATGTAAACTGGCTTAATTGCTTTTTATCACATTACTAAAGATTTTTCTTGCACAAAACTTTCAGAGATTCCCATGCTATAATATCAGGTAAGCCACTGATCTTCAGTTTAGTTGTGATACCATTAGGTAAATTGATCACATGTAAGAACAGCAACTGAAACAGCAAGAAAAAAAAAAGCAGAAAATGTTACGAGACTTAAATATTAATTTCCAACTTTGAGTTTAAAGAAAGAGACTGGACACAATACTAGAAAAAAAAAGAGAAAACAATCTTCATTAAGAACACAACTTGAGTATGAGTGCCCAATAACACTGGACAGCTCACTAGCTGTTAAGAGTTCGCTATGTCAGAAAAAATGTCCAGGAATTCTGAATAAGACAGAGAACTTATCATTGAATAAATAACACAATAACATAATTTCTCCCAGTGTCATTTACAGTTATTCTATTAGTTAAAATAGGGAGGACATAGTCTCCAAGTATCACTAAATATTTTCACAGATGATCTTGTTAAAGAGACATGATACTAAACCACAACATCTTGAAGTAACATTTTCCTTGTGAAACATCTGTGGCACATGATAATGAGTAACTGGGGCACTAGCAAGTTAGCCACATTTCAAAAGTACTATTCCATATGATAAGCTTATATGTACACCTTAACCCTTTCCAGACCAGATGGGTGTTACTAATTGTTTATTGTTAAGCACAAAGCAATACAGTGGATTATCTGTGATGTGCTCAACATGGGTATCAAAACCTGATTTTCAGTGTTATAAACCATCAGGCTTGCAGCTGAATCACCACAGGGGCCAGGTGTCACTGATATTGATTTTGTTTCCTTTTCACAGTGGAAATAAGTTAATCAAATTGCATGAATACAGAACAAACTCATTTAATATTATCTACTTTTGGCTTACAGAAATTCATATAATTTGATAGTTTTTTCATTGACACTGTTTTCTTCCAGGTGATGCTACAGTGAATTGAACAAAGAAATGATGACTGCACAAAGGAAGACTCGATGCATTATGTGTGAAATTGAATATTGGATATTCATCCTACAGTGATCAAAGAGTGTGTAACAACTGCTAAGAAAATAATAAACATGGACGTTTGAGACAGTATTGTCTAGATCAGTGGTCGGCAACCTATGACTCGCGGGTCACTAAGTGACCCGCAGCAATAATGTGGCTTACCCACCAAAAGTTGGCTTCACCATTGCAAACCGTGAGGGCACAATCATTGTTCAGTTCAAGTTTCTCGGCTATGTGAGAAGAACAACGATATTAAAGGAAAGATGGGAAAGAGTCACGGCTACGGAGAATTTTAAGATCAATTTCAGAGAAAAATATCAAACTGGTCGAACTATTAATTTTTTTGTATGTAAATAAACATACACATTTAAAATACATGTACCGGTATTAATAATTATATGATTATCACTGACCCAACACAATGCTAAATTTTTCAACAAAAAAAATAATTGACCCGCGATCAAAAAAGGTTGCTGACCACTGGTCTAGATAACTAAATAGCCTTGAGCAAAAATATGCCAAGTTATAATCTTGTGAAGGAATAATTTTTAGGGCCCTTTTTTGTTCAATAAGTAGAAAAATTATACTTTGTTGATGAAAGGAGAATAACATAATGATATCTTAATTATTTTTTATAATTAAAATGGTACTATATTTTTTCTAAGTACCTATTAAGTTACAACAAATAAGACTTATAGAAACCATAGGTGAGCTGACATAAAATTTACATAAGGTAGTCAAAGTTACGTAATTATTCAACTTTGTAAAATTTTATGAAAACTTCTCCCATGAAATGCTCAGTGTTGAACATGTATATAACCAAAACATCAATAAGATTCACCTGTGGAATGTTAATGTTAAAATAATGTGATATATTAATATTATCAAAGCATATCAACTTACATTTAATATCTAATTTTGTTTACAAAATAAAAAATAAGGTCAAGTTCTATTTCAAAAAGGTAACATTAGTTGTTAATTGATTAAATGGTTTGTTTGTTTCTGTTTTTGAATTTCGCGCAAAGCTACATGAGGGCTA